TTTTTATTGGGGAAAATCATTTTTTTCCCCCCCCCCCCCTTGGAAAAAATGTATTATGTCACAAAAAAGTTTCGAAAGATCATTAAACAATTATATTTGGAACGGTTGTCAAAGATGCTTTTGTTTACTTTCATGAACAAATTATCAAACAATTTGCAAAGGAACTAAGTTGAAAATGATGATATCCTTCCATTTAATTGAAATTTTAGTATACTCTATGTTTCTGAGAGAGATATATCAAGAGAAATGTTTCTTCCCCAGAACTTGAATGACATAAAAATAGAAGCACCAGTCTTTGGCAAAATTTAACTTAAAAACGTTTTTCCTTTGTATCGAAAAACTTGCAAAAGTTCTAGATGGAAAAGGACTGGCTAGAACTGATTAAAAATCATTTTATTTGAATGAATCCTCTAGTTATATCTTAGAGAAATCAGTTGATATCAACTGTTAAATTTTGTAATTGTAAGATACAGGTGATAAATAAAAAGATGTCTCTATTGGACACAGAATCTATAATAAAATAAAGATAGCAAGCAGAAGGTTATTTTTTTTTCGTTTTAGACGTTGAATAGTTCTCGTTATTTTAAATAAATAAATAAATATTTACCAAAAAAAAGATTTGTTATTTGTCAATAAATATCTCAGATTTAATTGAATGCAGTAGAAATATCCAAGAATTCCTGAAAGCAACTGATGAGAAAACTTCATGATTAAAAATAGCGGTATCAACGAAGGATATTTATCGAAATTCAATTTCAATATTCGCTCAACTTGAAAATGATCGAAAAAAACAAATCGGATATTTTCAAGAAAAAACTTCTGAAGAACTTATTCTCCTTTGATATATTCATTATCTCAAGTTAAATCATTGCTGTCCGATACGTTTATTATTAATTAATGCTTAAATAATTTGCTTTTCGATATTATCTGAAAATTCGTCAATATTATTAGTCGATCAAATTTGCTTAACACTTCATTCTGTGGCCGAAATTCCTTCATTATCAGTAATTGAATATTTCATATTGAAGGGTATGTATGACATTGAATACTTCTTCGCTCAATTCTCAGATGCTTTTTATTACTAAAGTAAAATAATATATATCGAAGTAATACAAATCAAAATTATCCTTATCTCATTTTTTATTGTAAGTCAATCAGCATTTTATTACATATTAACTAATCGTATAGTTGTAGTTTTAGAAATGAATTTACCCGATAGAGATCAATCGAAAGCAATAGATTTAAAAACAAAACAATATCTAGTTAGATTCTCTTATCAAGCATATTGCAGACGAAGAAAATAGATGTTTATATTGTAATGATAATTACTATTCGTTCAATAGTCCATTCAACCTTAATAAAACAATAACGATCAGATAGATCTCTATATAATTCATGTTTTTAGTGCACATACAACAATGTGATATAGAATTATTCAAAAAAATAAAATGCAAACTTTACCGGTTTCGACTTTTATTTTATTTTAATGAAAATTTAATAGATATTTCAAGGCGAATATCTTCGTGGAATTCGTAGCAATACAATTAAAACTCTTTTTCAAACAAATTTGGCCTTGAAAAATCTTCGTCATCAGTTAGATAATGAAATGTTATTTTATCTGTGATATCATCATTTATACTTTTATGAAACACGATCTGAAAGGAGTGTTGAAGTAAATAAGTCTTAAGTGAAGAAATATTTGTTTGTGATAAAATTCTTTTTGTAGATAAATATTTTTATTGAATTTGCAGATAATATGAGAGAGAGAATTATAAAGCTTCTTTCAAATGAATATGATTTCAGTGTAGATCGATTGAACTTGCTCGAAGGTGGTTTTCGCCCAGATGAAACATATCTACTAATTACTACTGATCAAGTTAAATATGTTGTTAAATATATTGAATATTCTCATAGTCTTGAGCATCTCCAATCAATCTTGCAATTTGAAAAGCTGTTACATGATTCGTATGAATATCTATGCCCTCAAATAATTCTTTCCAGCAAACAACAACTTGTTATTCGTGATGATAATCGTTTTCTTTTTATTCAAACATTTATTGAAGGAGTAGAGCCAACAAGAGAAATACTTGATAAAGATGATATTTATTTACATAAGATGGGGCATCTTTTAGCACAATGGAGAATTGCTTCTCGCGAATATTCATCAAGTATTCAAATAGAAGAAGAAGATCGGGAATTAACAGATCAATGGTGGAAAAAACAAACAATACAGAATGTTGATCCATTTCTTTTGTCGAATTTTCTGGAATGTAAAAAATATTTAATCAATCTAAAAGCAAATTTTGAGCGTGGTCTTATTCACAATGATTTTCATGCAAATAATTCAATTATGACAAATGATGGAAACATTTTTATTATTGATTTTGTTGATGCATGCCAATCGGTATTTGTGGCTGATTTAGCAACATCTCTCTTTCATTTATTAGTTGATCAACAAAACGGAGAACATCGAGCGCAAGCATTTTTACAAGGGTATCAACAAACTACACCATTGATAAAAGAAGAAATTAATGCTCTCGATATGTTTGTACGATTTAAATTGACTTTGTCTATTATTGAAGATTTACGCGATTCGAACGATACTGATCATCCGTTCATTCAATCATGCTTTCATTTACTGCATAAACTCAATAATCATTCTACTCTAGTGAAGAACTTATGTTTGCAACACTATTTTTGATTGAAGAGCTCATGTACGAGATTTGTTAAAAATCAATCGTAGTTTTTTAATATACTTGCGGATATGCTTATCTCAGATGTATTTTCAAATCAAATTTTAATACTTTCATCTCGTAGAATTTTTTATACTGATTATAGTTTTGTAGAGAAATCAAAGAAACATTGAAGATAAGTTTTTTCCATGAAATGGCGATTTATCACACGAGGGCACAAGGGAAGATATATGAATCGAAGCGAGAATCGACAACCACACCCACACCCTTTTAGATTTACATTTTGCTAGTTATTCATTTTTCATACGTACCGCCCATTGAGAAAACAACGAGAATAGAAGCAAGAAAAATTATCAACAAATATCCACGACTCATCTTATAATTTTTTGTTTCAATATATTTTAGTAAAGAAAATGATTGCTGCTTCTTAAACAGGCATGCATATATCAATCGATCAGATAAAAGCTTCAACAGTGCCTACTTAATCGAATTGCTACATGATACACAGCCAACTCTTTTTTATCAGTCCTTGATGACCCTTATAATTTTGAGTCCATAATATCTACGCCATCATTGGATTGGCGCATTTTATATTTTTTTTTCTTTTTTCAGTCGTCTAATATTTAAAAAAAAGCTGAAGTAGTCAAATAGTTTTCTCTGGTTTTGACCATATGTTTATATGTCAGTCAATAGGGAAAACAAAAGATCTTTAATTTAATATAAAAATTGACTGAATACATGAATAAATCAATTTTTATATTAGCACTCACACACTCTGCACCCTAATGAAGGCGATTCTAGTACATGTATGTTTTGTTACGGTAATCGAGTTTTGGAAAAAAAAGTTAAATTCCGAGAAAAAGTAGAAAATAGACTCTGTCGACAAATTCCATCGTTTTTCTTTGTTAAATTATTAATTTCATATAACCTATAATATAGAGCATTAATCACTGGTCATATTTTGATAAATTTTAGCAAAATTTTCCTAACCAGAGCAACTTCGGGTGAATACACAAATAGCAGCACTGCTAACAATAGTAGACGCAATAAAGTTCGTTGTCATCATAGATCTTATTTGTTATTCAATAAAATCTTAGCTTATTTAAAAAGCTTCACCATTCGATTTACAAATACTGAAATAATCAGATTCAAAATGTGGTATATTTACACTTGAGAATTTCATACTTTAAGATTATTTGTAGAAAACAGTTTCAACAAATTCATTTTTATTATTGTATTCCACTACCGATAGATCATTGATCTTTTCAATATTGTACTGCTCAAAGTTAAGTCGGCTTACCAGTTTGTTCTTATTTGAACGTCCTTGATATTTGTCGTAATCTTTCATGCTCGTTCGTTCGCTATGATGGTTGGATATTTAAACGTCTGCTTTATATGTAATTGGGACGATAGCATGATGTGAAAGAACAAAATAACAATCAACAAGTCATTCGAGCTGCAAACTGATTCAAGATGAGCGATGAACACGAGAGTTTCTTCGCAAACTCATATTTAATAAAAACGTGTACGCCATGAATGTGATTTTAGTTCGTAAGAAAAAGCTATTAGAGTAATCCCAACGAGATTACAAATGTGAAATACGGTCTAACTAGTGTTCGCACTCCATTAAAAGCTGATCTTTTTCTATGCATATCTGGACATGTTTCTACACGTGGTTTATTTCGCAGTCTAGAATATTCAACAAGGAAATACTTCATATCTATTCCAGTCAGATGTGACTTGTACATGGTGCTCGATAGTCCCTTGAAGCTGTCTGCCACTATCTATGCTGGTTTTTTCAGACGATTAAGTATCAAAATACGATTATTGTTATTTCGATCTAGATTTTCCTCTGATTGCTGTTAATAGTTTACAAAAATGTGAAACTATATGTTGGTTTCCCATTGTGATCCTGATGACAAGCTCTCGTGAGTCATACTCATCAAATCAAGATTTATTTCGAAAAATGTCAAGAAGACCTATATGATAATGACTGATGTTGCAGCGATGCTATTTGTGCCAATATGACTGATCAAATTTTTGTCGTTGTTCTCACATTAAATACACGAATTTCGGTGGCATGATGAAAACCAAGTTTCCGATAGATTATAGTTTTTACTTCGTTATTGGTAAAGAAAAGTATAAGCGATTCCATGACAGCAGAAAGTGTGATAAAAAAGATAGATATAGAGTAGAATGGCCATGGCATCTGACTAATAAGATTGATTATAAGGAGGATAAGATACGGCGTTCCACCAACAATGAGCACGGCTACAACTAGGAGAATCTTACGAAATACTTTGATATTTCTTTTGTTATTGTTTCGAAGAACATGATTAACATGAACGAGATTAGTTCGTGTTGTATGGCGCAAAATAATACCATAGAGGAGAACAACAATAGTGACATGTAAGAGAAAAGCAACAATTATCAACGTAAATGATGTATGAAACATTTTAGTGGTAAAGACACAAAAGTGCGACTCAGGTTCGTATCGAAAGGCAACAGGTGAGATCAACATTTGACTACCGAGAACTAGACTACACATCCAATTGAACACAGTCAATAATAGATTTGTATGGTAAGTGAGTAGAATTTTACTTTTGTAAAGAATAATAATAAAATAACGTGAAATAGCCTGAATAAGGTAAGAAAATATTTTTGCTATACAAGCAAGTAAGAATAGCAGAGCGCGAATTCGAGAAGATGTTGCCAGCAAGTTGTTAATAGACTGTTGTTGTTGGAATTGAAAAAGATTCGGTATTTGAATGGCAATAGTGACATTAAAGACGAGGAAGGCGATACAAGAATTGCGCGTAAGAAAATTCGAAGTTGATCGACAATGGGGATTCCAATAATAAATGATTGTTGTCAACATTATCAATGAAATTCCATGCAACTTTCAATAACCAGTTTGTCTTTAATTTAGTTGATCAAATGAAAATAGTGATCTTATAGTCTTGAGTAGATAAATGAATTACTGACGTGAGAAGAAAGCAAACAACGAGGAAAAATATTATATTTATTAATTTGTATTAATCTTTGATTCAAATATGCTGCAAAGATATGTTTACAGTCTAATTTCAAAAGAGCAAATACGTCTTAAATATGCAGCAGTGCAAAGAATGCTGCTACTAGATACGATTTTCATAAAAATTTACCTCGTTATATTTGCGGAGAGATTCATCCAGAAATCTCTTGGAGATTGGTTAGCAAATTTTGTCTAGTATTTATTTTGGTTTTCGTGGGCTGAAAAAGATGGCCTACACCCACACCCCACACAATTGTTTCAAAGCTGAAATGAATTGTATCATTAGAATGCATTTTTATTTCGAGATTAAATAGATCCACAACTGTTTATGATTATCTTGTCCACGAAACTAATAAAAGAAAATAGGCAAAAAAAAAAGTATTCTGATGATTCAAATACGTGTACTGGTTGAATAGTGAATCAATTCAAATTATTTGAATAAGTTGAGACATATCCCATGTGCTATCTTGATTTTGTTATTTTCCAATATTGAATGTGTTCGGCGACGCACCATCAATTTTGTTGCCCATCAAGTAGACATGCCAACTATCTTTGCCATAGCCGCTGCCAAGCGATTGAAATGAATTAGCGCTTGCACCAGCAACTTTTCTACCTTGAAAATACACATTCCAACTATCTTTTCCATATCCACCACCAAGTGATTGAAATGAATTAGCACTTGCACCATCAACTTTTCTACCCATATAATAGACAGTCCAACTATCTTTTCCATATCCACCGCCAAGTGATTGAAATGAATTAGCACTTGCACCATCAACTTTTTTACCCATATAATAGACAGTCCAGGAGTCTTTCGAATAACCACCGTCTAAAGTGGTCATAAGCGCTCGTGATAGACGGTCAACGCTGATCACATTTCTTTTATCTTCACTAGTATCAGTTGTGTCATCGCTTTCTTGAAATTTATCAAATAATTTCATGCTGTCAACGTTCGCTAGTAAGCATGCGAATGCGAATAATATACAGCCAAAATTCATGTTGACACTAAAACAGACGTTAATCATACTAAAAGCTATGAAAATTCAACTCTATAGAGAGCTTTAATCAAGCAGAAACTAACTAGATCTCTGATCAAGAACTTTACTTTTTAAAAATTCGGAAGCATTGTAGTTCTGTTCAGCAATAAAAAGCGACTAGATGAATCAGGATAGAAATGAAAATAGTACAAGTTTCTTACAGCGGCGTAGCCAAGGAAGGGACAAATGGGCAATTGCCCGTTTCATTTGGAGATTTGCCCATTGTAACTTTTATTAGTAAGCGTTTGCCCATTGCAATTTTACTTTTTCAGAGTTGTTTATTCATTTTTGAATTAGATAGTAATTCTATTATTTTTCTTCCGTCTGAACCACACACACATGCACTCCTTGCTTGTTCTTTCTGTGAAAAATTTAGAAAATAAGAAGAAAGCAATCGTTTCTGGTATTTTAACCAGGGCTACCAGATGAAAACTTAAAAATCAGAAATTCTTGTTTTCAAAATTTGAAAAAAATCAGAATTTTTCTCCAAAATCGGAAACTATAATCAGAATGGGTAACTTTTTGCAAATCGATGGCTGTCATGTTGACATAATTACTGGCGCAAAATGCTGTATTTATCTTTTTTTACCGACTCATACTTTATTTCCAAAAGTATTTCATAGTAAAGAAAGACAATACAAACATTATATAGCTTAGAGTAAAAGATCGTGTACTGTAGGCTAAGAAGATTGATTATGTGAGGATCAAATGGATGCTCTCACTGTTAAACTAACTAGTTAAAAATATGAGCTGCCACTAGCGTATACAGGTCGAGATATTCGAGTTTCAAAAAATTTCCAGTTTATTGTGTGCCCACACTACGAAATTTCATCAACATATATAGTTTTCTTTTTCGGCCATGGTTGGATGGAGCACGACCATTTACATAAGAAAAAACAATCTCACGCATATTAAAAAGCAAATTTCAAGAAGTCGAAGACAACATGTTTTTAAATATAAGGGTAATAAACAAAATATTCTAGTTGTTGTCAAACTGCTGTTGAATATGCGTGATATTGTTTCTCCTTATGTAAATAGTTGTGTTTCATCCAATGATGACGAAAAAAGAAAGCGAAGGTCGATGAAATTTCGTAGTATGGACACATGATAAACTGTAAATATTTTGAAATTTAAACATTTTGGTCTGTATAGGCTATTGGCACCTCATGTTTTAAACTAGTTGGTCTGCGAGTGAGAGCATTCATTTGATTCAACTATGAACAATCTCCTTAATTTCAAGTTACATGGCCTTCAATTGTTTGTTAATACAAAAACAACTAGCTAAAGACACCAAACATCGGACTTTTTTACGAAGTCAAAAACTCGCTTTACAAAAAAATATGCGCAAAAAAATCATATATAAACTGTGCAGATGATAAAAACATCTTACAAAAAATAATAAAGATTATAGAACATAAATTCTATATTTTTTTTCAAGTTTTCCTTTGTTTGAAATTCCTTTCATAAATGTTTTTGAGCCAAAATATGTTTACAAAATCGTTCAAAAAAAAATTAGTATTCATTCTTAAGTTCAGCAACGCAATCATTTACTGATATATTAAAGTATTCGCCAGTGGTTACGTAACTCAAAAACTACAAAAGATTAAGAAAGGAAAGAAAATCTGGCATCCCTGATTTTAACTCTAAGTTTGGGCGAACACGAGTTCGGTTTTATTGAGAAAACACTGGCTATGTAAAGATAGAGAAGGATAGATCGAAGAAAACATACACGAACACATATATGTGTATAGATGCTTACATATATAGAGTGACTCATAGACGAGAAAAGAAAAATCGAATGATGTATATCCGAAAACATAAAGGAAAAAATCAAGATGTGAAATGACATAGTTCGTAGGGAAAATGTCCACGTGTGCTGCACAGATACATATTGGAAGAATCCTCAACATTAGCTTGTGCATGTTTTCTTTGTACGTTATTATGCTTTGTTGAGCCAAAACGTTTTGGCCCATTAATAAAAACCTTGCTCATTTCGCCCATCATTTTTTTCGACACAAGAGAAGTTTGCCCATTGGTCTTAAAATTCTGGTTACGCCGCTGGTTTCTTAGCTAGTCTATCTTATTTTCGGATAGAGTACGAAAAGTCTACCTAGCCAGTATGGGCCGTTATTAGAGGTGTCAGCCGTACGGCTGAGCCGCCGCAGCATCCGATTTTTCAATAATATCAGCCGCCGCAGCCACCAAATTAGTAGTAATTTTAAGAATTTTGGGGGAGCCGCCGCTGCGAAAAAACAAGTTTAGCCGTTGCGCCGCTGCAAGAGATAAAAANTTTCGTCAGTGAATTTTTACCTGAGCCGGCGCCGCTACATAAGGACTTACAAATATCAGCCGACGCCGCCGCTGTGAAAAAAATTTTAAGAATTTGTAGCAGCCACCGCTGAAGACATTACTCATTCAAATAACGAGCCGCTGGAAATCTTCAAAAATTGAAAACTGTTGCCCGCCGTCGCCGTTCAACCCTTCGGCTGACACCTCTAGTCGTTATAGAAATTTCCTTTGGTGGCCGCTATATCAGCCTGGAAAGCGTTCGGATGACTTTCCCTTATCAATTCATTCAATATCGTAAATCTTTGTTTGAAACATGGCACCTTTGCAGAATTCCATCGCTCTATCGGTTCTCATACTTTTCTATTATCTATAGCTTGATCACCAGCTGCGTAAAAATATGAAATTATAATTGCTGGCTGGTATTTATGAAAATAAATGTTTGAGAATGATAAAATGAAAAGAATAATTTGCGTTTCTGGTGAAGAAAGATTATGTTGCACTTTTAACTACGTCGTATTTATGGATTAAAGAGCAAAGAAATGGTATCGAAACAACATGATCGAAATCAAACTGGAATCAGAACTTGGATTTTTTTCTCTCAATAATTTCCAAGGAAGAAAAATGCAATGCCCAATATTTCACATTTTACAAAAATTGAATGAACACAAATAGTCAGTGAATTGAAAACGAATTGAAGATTAGATTTTTGCTGCAATTCTCTCTGCAGTAGAACTTACCCCAACACTGACTTTTTTCAAATGTTTCTGCTTTTCTTGCCCCAGTTTTCGTTGCATAAATAACAACAATTTCTCCAGTAATATTGACATGAGTCTTTTTTATGCATAAACACAATCTAGAATCATTGATTAACGATACTCATGGCTGTCTATTGAATGGTGCACTTGGTAGTGCTTTAAAAGCATACAAAAATCGACCTTGATATGATGAATAAGCCAGGATCGCGGGTGCTTTTAATAATCAATAATAAAACATGTATTCAAATGAATAATGAAGGAGTAAGAGAAATCGATTCTCTCTCGCCGAACGAGGTATTAGTCAAAAGTGATACAAATCTAGCGTAACTATATGAGTTCGGGAGCAATTGGGCTTGACATTTAGAAAATGATCAAACAAGCACAATTACTTTCCTATTGCTCGACTTTGTTTTCGCTTAAGGCTTCTACTGTTTTGTTATTGATGTTCTGTTGATTTATCTATTTTAGTTAATATGTCTATCTAGATTATCTAAGTAAATCAGAAATGTAAGAATTCAATGAAGAGAAATAAATAAAAGGAAGAAGCTAGAGTAAATAAGAGAGCAACGAAGATTATTATACTTTGGTGTATAGTGAAACAAAGAAAATGTTTGAAAAAAGATGTCTGGTTTTTTAATGGTATCTGTTCTATTTTATTTTGAAAAGATGATCGAATAATTGAATCAACGATTGAATTTATTGTTGCATAGATTGTCAAACAAGACGTTTTTTTTCATACGACGATATAGAATAGAATACAATGATGAAAGAGAGGGCGTTATTTGTGATTCATGCATACGACGTTTATCTTAGTTGAGAATACTTTGGTGAAGGATTTGATAAGTAGTTCGACTGGCGGGTGGATACGTAACGACGGCTCCGAATTGCTGAAGAAAGCCCTGAAAGCTTCATTTTGATATCTATATGTGATTGCAAAAATAGAATTATCCCTAAGATTTTGTCATCATCTAAAAAATAAGACATAAATCATCAAATAAGTAACATTTAGGTGCGCTAATTAGATAAAATTTTGGTTCAGATCGATTGTTGATGCTCACCACTACTCACATCAGTAATTAAAAGCTAGTTTCACTAATTGAAAATCATTATAAATTACGATTCAATCTCTAATGAACTGTCAAAATCTGTCTTTTTTATTACTATTGTCCATAGTTACGACTTGTGGCATATTTTCACTATTACAGACGTTAGCAACCACTGTCTACTACGATTACATGCATTAAAGACTATCTACCTATAATAATAAAATTTCAAGAATATTTATAGGTCATTTGAATGAAAAAAATTCTAATTTTTCACCTATTCAAGTGTTTTTCTGAATAATCAATATATACTTTTCATATTAGATATCAAATCTTACTTTTTCAATTGAATTAAACTGTCATTAAAATATTTCAAAAGATAATAAAAACTATACACTGTCTGAATTTTTATTTATTCATATATTCTATTTAAATAGAGTAGATCGAACCTAAGGATTTAAGTGTGTAATCAAAATTTGATTGCTGAAATACTCAATAAATTAGAAAAGAAGGATGTGTGTGTGTACCTTGTTTTACACTTATCTACAAACACTCACACCCTTATCATCATCTCTTGCAAAAAGAAAATAGATGTGCCGTTGAGAGTTCTACTCTTATCTTTCACTCTCTGATTTTATCTATGACGTGCAAACTTCTCAGCTAACGATTAATTGCAGGCTGTAAAGCACCTAAGACGAGCTACCTATAGCTGTGTTAACAAACAATGAATATTTCGGTCTACTGTGTAATTCTTATTTTGGTTGTCACACAATGTTTTGAAACATCGTGCAAGTTACAGAACAGCTGTAGCTATGATGTGAACAGCGAGCCATATTGATAATTAGATGATGAACGTATCTCTATTTTAGTCATGCAATTTGGGCCAAGAAGATAAACTCAATGTTCATCTAGTACCGCACACACACGACGATGTCGGTTGGCTTAAAACAATTGATCAATACTACTACGGGGGTGAGTAGAATCTTGGATAGATGTACAAAACATCAATACATAACTTCAATTTTCGACCAAAAGTCTCCATGAGACACACGCAAAGTTTTGTAACGCGTACATGGCAGGACGAGTGAAACGAATTCGATTCTTTTCACCTCTTCGCTTTTCACGTATAACAGCTCTCATTCACGATATGCTCCCATGCTAAAATTCCTCGGCTTCTTGACACATTTCAACGATTACCACAAATTCCTGTCAAATTTTGCTTAATCAGAAGAAAGAACGAAAATCAATAAGGTTATTTTTCGGTCCCAAATCACCGTAATTGCTGTGCTCTCTAGGCAATGTCGATGTACAGTCTGAAATTTGATTTAGAGAAGAAAGAAAGTTCTAGTACTTCATAGTCGTCTGATCACACTCAGTACCCGATTCGACAACGACCAGATTCATTGGAATTAGTATCTCGAAGGTCTTTCACTGGTCGTAGGCAAGAAGCACTGAATCTTCCTGTTTTCTCTTGTCTATCTAGTTTGCTTACAATACAATCTCTCTGTGGTCCATATCCAACATCAAAGGAGTTATCAAACAGCGTTCAAGATTTTGTTTTCGGGATTTTTCCGACATTAATGCAATAATACCGTCCCAAAGATTAAGATAGAAGCCCGTTACGGTCACAAAACTCTTTTTCAGCCAAATTCTTTCTATTTCACAAACTATTATTTAGAGATTTTCGAATAGAGCTTCTTTTTATTTGTATCGCACTATCACTTTGTGAGGAAAGTTCTCAAAAGTTGTCATATTTAGCGATGTTCGTAATCTGTGCGATCGACCTGATAGGATTAGATGCGTTTCAAATGTAACATTTGAAAAAGATTTTCTAGAAATTCTCCGTAGGTTATATTGAATTTATTATCCCCAAACAGTTGTTTCTCAAAAATACCTTGAGTCGAAAAATAGTCCTATTGGCCTTCGTCCTTTTCCTGTAATATTTCGTCCAGAAAAAGATACGATTGTTGATGTTGATCAAGTTCTTCGCTGATCCAAACATTTTTCCAAGAGTACTCTTGATCTAGATCGCAACGACATTCAACATGCATGCGTTCAATACATCCTCGATTCGGTTATTCAAGCACTAGTGCAAAATCCCGAACGACGTTTCATCTATGTTGAAATAGCCTTCTTCTGGCGTTGGTGGAATGAACAATCAGACGATACGCGTAACACCGTCAAAGAGCTCGTGAACGATGGTCAGTACAGAACTTTTTTTCTGTAAAGCTTCTGTTTGAAAATTTATACGTTTGTTTGATTGTCAAAATTATTTTTAAATCTTCTTAAATTAGGTCGTCTTGAGTTCATTTCGGGTGGCTGGTGTATGAATGACGAGGCGACAACACACTACAATTCGATCATCGATCAACACAGTTTAGGAGCCGAATTTTTGCGTGATCAATTTGGTGAATGCGCCCGACCGAAGATCAGCTGGCAAATCGATCCGTTCGGTCATTCACGCGAAGTTGCCTCACTCTTTGCACAGGTCTAACAATTCCGAAGGAGTGTAAAAGCTGCATTTCTGCATTTTATAGATGGGCTTTGACGGTCTATTTTTTGCACGACTCGATTATCAAGATGACGAACAACGTAATAAGACAAAAACACGGGAAATGGTATGGAAGGGTAGTGATAGTTTGGGTGAGTCTTGACGACAGTGTCATAGAAGTACTACACACATATATGCTTGCAGGCCGTCAGAGTTGGTTGTTTACGAGTGTTTTATCGAATTTTTACGATCCACCAGACTCTTTCTGTTTCGATGAATTCTGCAGCGATCAGCCAATTATGGTTAGTCCGATTCTTCTTGCTTGCTTCTCGACTGTTACAGGCAATGGCTGTATCAACTTTACATTTCGATATTCTCTCTACTGTTTCTTTATCTATGCTTGTTGTAGGATGATGCACGCCTGCACGATTACAATGTTCCAGAACGAGTTCAAGCATTCATAGATGCTGCACATGATCAGGTTAGCTTTTCGATGTCGTTTTGAAGTGAACCACTGAACAATGGTCATTGATGAAATTCATGTTCGAACAGAACGTCGAGCTCTTCTAGCTTGAACAGAGTCGAAAATCTAAATGACCGCATTCCTATTTCTAATAGTCAAATGTGGTTCAGGATTCACAGATTCCGATTCTAACTGGAACGGGTTAGAACAGGAGCAGGAACCAGCGCACCCGTAAATACGATTCTGGACACTTTTCCACAGCTTTGTAATAAAGTAAATGAGATAATATTCTGGTGTGAGACACTTCTTGTCCACTTCAAAATGATAAATATTTTCCCGTCGCTCTTGGTCTCAGGGGAAAACAATATTAGAGAATCGTAAATATATTTCATTTCTTTTCTTCTGTTCCACAGACCTTCTTGATTGAATGATAGTTTTAATCATTCGTATTTACTATTCTTCTCAAATATTTTTTCAATTTTATTTAGATCCGATACTTTCTTGGTCAGCTTTTCTTCTCAAAACTTGCGAATGAGACGCATGATATCTTAGGACTTCAAGATGGAAAGAAACTTTCTCTGTTACTTTTTGATGTTTCTTTGGTCGATCGTCCAGTACTCAGGATCATAGCCAGAGAGGAGAACTAGGGGATCCAAGCCTTTTCTTTTGAGAGTCTTTGGCTACACCCCTGCTCATGAAAGTCCTCTGTAGCATCGTAGAAGTCTCAGCTAGTCTAAAAGGCACTTTCTGTAGTGTCTTAAAAGTCTGTGCTATCACATAGACATAATCCAAAGCCTAATAACAACCCTTCAGGACCGTTCCAAAAAGCTCATTGAGATCCTAGCAGTCTAATTTAAGATTTGATAACAGGAACGTACTCAGACTGGGAATACCCTTAAGGACATGGAATCTCTCCTGAGCGCAAAAGTTACCTAGATGTAACTGAAAACTTTTTTGATTGCGCGCCAAACTTTCGATAGCACCTTCCCTCTTCTCTCATCGCCTCAAATGTTCTAGCGTCCTACTCATAGAAGTTCAGTCTACGCGTCCGCCTAAAGGGCGAAGCTTTAAGCTTTTACTAAAACTAAAAATGCAGCATGTAGAAATCACTTTCAATATTTTCAGGCACATGGCTTCGCTACTAATCATATCATGATGACAATGGGGAAAGATTTTCAATATGAAAATGCTAATATGTGGTTTCAAAATCTGGATAAACTGATAAAATATGTCAATGCGCAGGTATTCAATTTCTAACAACTCTCAATTGATTATCTCTATTTTTATATGTTCAGCAACCGAATGGCAGTGATGTCAATGTGTTCTATTCCACACCTTCATGCTATTTGTATGCATTGAATAAGGTCGGCAGAGAATGGACATCGAAAACGGATGACTTCTTTCCACTTGGCGACACTCCGCATGGATTCTGGACGGGCTATTTTACTTCAAGACCTTCACTCAAACGTTATGAACGACATGCAAACAATATTCTTCAAGTTGCGCGTCAACTCAATGCACTTTCACAAATCAATTTGCGTAGCAATATTTTTAATTTGAGTAAGACAAGGATGTGTTCTCTTTTTTATCTGACCGCGTAAACACTATAGGCGAAGCGATGGGTGTTGTTCAACATCATGATGCAATCAGTGGAACAGAGAAGCAACATGTTGCCAATGACTATGCTCAACGATTGTCCGAAGGGGTCGACATAGCTGCGGTATGTTAGCAAGAAATTAGCTCATTCATATATCCACTTTTAGGATGTGATTAATAATGCCTATGCCAAATTATTGCCTAACCAGAGTAAAGTACCAATGACAGCACCTCAATTTCTTTGTCAATATTCAAACATCAGCGAATGTCTACCCATTGAAGGACAGGATCGGGTAAATATCAGATGCACCATAGCAAATGAGTCTCTCAGTATTTTGACTATGACTTGTTCCTAACATGCTCAAAACATACTGAGAGGCACATTCATTATAGTGTACCCAGTAGTATGCTTTTGTGTTCATGAGAGATGTATATTGTCCTCATAGTTCACACTGACACTTTGGAATCCCACCATTCATTCAGTTACTCATCATGCTCGTGTACCTGTTACGAAAGAATATTGGATTCGCGATCCAATGGGAAGCATTATTCCAGCCGAGGTATGAATGTACAAGAGATAATTTTCGAATATCTATTATGTTCCATTTTAGTATCTTCCGATTCCAGACACCACAAAAAACATTCCTGGTCGAAAGAGTTCTGCTCAAAATCAGTACATATTCACAATTTTACTGCCTGCTCTTGGCTTTAGCACTTATTATTTCAAAGTTAAAAGTATAATTATTGATCAGCTCTTCGTTTTTATGACTTGCTTATATGATAGGCGGTGAGATAATCGAGAAGAAAAATGTAACAACGACACGAAACGAAGCTTGCACTTTGGAAAACGCAGTAAGATATTACATTGCGCTATATAGTCGAATCGAATAACTATTGGTAGTTTGTTCGAGTCGAATTCGATGATCAAGGCAATTTACATCAGATCATCAATTTGGAGAAGCGTATTGCAGTACCGTTCACTGCGCAAGGCTTCTACTGGTACACAAGTAAGTGAGTTTCTGCGTCGAAGCCTCCAGTCGACTTTTGGAAAAAATACATCTTCAATTTTTAGCTAAATATCTGTCAGGTTCATACTGCGTGTCACTTTCCAGAAGTATTTTCGTGCTGAATGAACGAATAAGAGAGAAAGCTGAAATTTTTGTACGGACTGCTAATCAGCGGGATGAATCGCGAAATGTGTTTTTTAAAATTCATATATGTCTAGAGACCTTTACGTAAGGTCTGTACATCGACAGTACAAAAGCGTTAGTAGGCATGATGTCGTTCATTTTTTAATTCATTCTCAAGGCTTTCCGGGTAACAGTTCTCTTCCGGAATTTCAAGCATCAGGTGCTTATGTTTTTCGACCGTTGACATCGAAGACACAACCTGTGAGCATCACTCGTATGATGTGAGTGGTTCATAGAATAGATTTTCGTCTATTCTTAATTGTAACATTAGAATCTGTACGAAAACGGAAACAGTACAATCGGCTATGATCGTATTCAATGAATGGGCTAGCCAAGAAGTGAGTCTCTTCCGAGGAGCGCCAACTGTTGAAGTAGAATGGACAGTTGGACCTATTCCGATCGATGACGATGTCGGCAAAGAGATTGTTGTACGATATGATACAGATATTGAAAGTGCATCGAAATATTATACGGATGCCAATGGACGTCAAGTACTCGAACGAATACGTGACTATCGACCAACGTGGAATTATTCCGTTGTCGAAAATGTCAGTGGCAATTATTATCCAATCAATAGTCGCATTTGGATTAAAGATGGCACACGCCAATTGACTATACTCACAGGTAACAATGATGCTGACTAAAAGCTATTTTTTCTGAAATCGACAGAAAATTCTCAAACTACTCTGTAAAAAAGGGTGTTAGACTGAATCTTTTAGGATCCTAGATTTGGGTATCAATGCCAGAAGCTGTTCAGGTTTGAGCTGCATAGAGTTCTAACTCGAACTTTTTCTTCCTCCTTCATAAAATGATTTTAGCTGATTCCAAAGCAGTCCTTGTAACACATTCAACCTACCACTACTGATTTGATCAAATTTTCACTCTGCAAGACCCGCAAGCACAGGTTTTCTACATATAACCACGAATTATGTGCGTAACGCGTTGCTTTTATATCAAATATCATTGTTTTCGACAAATACTCTGCTTCTAACGAAATTCGCCAGTCCACAAATCTAGAATTAGTATTACGGTTCAGATCCTTCGACCCCGAAAACCTTTTTGACTAAACTTGATAAAATATCGTTATTTCCGAAAACTACCCTTCTTCTAATAGAATTTTACACTCCCTGAAAATTTCAAGAGGATGCGAGGGACAATGGCTGTGAGTATTTTCATGACGTTGGAGATTATTGCGTCCGGATCCGCTCAACACCTATACCCTCAAGATAGTTTTGGAGAACGAACGATGCTAGATAATATCCTCCACAACTAGATCGATCCGAAGGTGGTGGAAGTATTCACGATGGTTCAATCGAAATCATGGTTCATCGTCGTATAATTTGCGACGATTCAGAAGGCGTCAATGAACCATTGAATGAAACAGCCTTTGGCAAAGGCCTTGTCGTGCGCGGTAAACATTTTCTCATCCTTGAATTACCTGCGAACAGCGCTCTCATTCACCGAGTCGGCGCTCAAGAATTGTTCATGCATCCCATTGCTACCTATGCTTTGCCCCAAATATCCTATGCAAACTATTCGAGTGCCTATCATCAAACATGGTCTGCTCTATCGGAAAGCATGCCGCTCAATGTTCATTTACTAACACTCGATCAATTGAGCGCCAAACAATTTCTTATCCGTATTGAACATTACTTTGAACTCAACGAAGATGAAATCTATTCACAAGCGGTCAACGTGGATCTGCAAGCGTTATTCAAAAGTCTCGGCACAATTACCAATTTGACCGAATTGACACTCGCTGCCAATTTACCCTTGTTCCAATTGCATCGACTCAATTGGATGACAAACGATAACGAATCGTCGCATGTCAATATTCCGAGTGAGTTTTGTTTCATTCAATCATCTAAACTTTGTTTATTGTTTTAGAGGACGCATCATTGACAGATACAATAGTCACACTCAATCCAATGCAAATCAAGACATTTCAAGTTACACTGTGATACGTCTCATGTTTACTTAGTGAATAAAATTCTGTTCTTGGTAATAAATACTTCTCGTGAAAAAAATATATAAAATATGGCGATAACGCTGTGATACTTTGGGACTGTTTTTATACGAAACGACGTTGAAAATCTATTCTTTCTCGATCGTACATTGAATAGATATTATATCAGAAGAAAAGTTTTTGTCCGAACCATCATTTCATCTTCATGCATGACAATAGTCGAATGCACACCGGGGCTAAAAAAAAGAGGGTGAGGGTGTGCATAAATCAATTAAATAGCAGGCCAATCTATCTTATAAAGAAAAGACAAATCAATCTACTGATCTAAACTATTACTTTTCAGTAGTCGATTTAGTCGAAAATAAATGTTAAAAAAATTCAACTGTTATTCTAGATAAAATAATAATAATTAACATAAAATGCAGAGTTAATTTTCGCCGACGCTTTTCGTGTCATTTATTTAAAGATTGAACACTCATTAGTGCTCTGCATTATAATATAAACACAAAAGGAGCAAAAATGAAAAAAAAATGAAGGGTTACAAGATCAGGATAATATAAATGAAATGCCTGATAAGTTTACTTATATAGATTATTAAGGCTATGTGTTTGAATTAGGGATGCACACGTACTAGTAAGATGCGAGTAATTCAGAAATCGCACAAAACTTTTTTTTGGAAGAATTTTATATCATTTGGTAGAGCTTGATGTGCTCTACAAGAATCACTATATTAAAAACATCATGGTTGCTTTATTAGGGTTAAAAATGTTGAAAAAAAGAAAAAATTTCGAAATTGTGAAAAATCACGAATTTTCGACAATTTAGGCTGTTCCTACTTGAATTTCGAAATATAAACGACTCAAAAACATGTTAGTTGGATTCAGCGTGAAAATCTGCATATAGTGATACAGCTTTGACGTTGTTCATATACGATGTCTGAAGGGGCTTATGCGACCAAAATAAAAAGCCTTGTAAACTAAGAGGGACCCTGGTTCCAAACCTATGTAGTCCCGCTAGCTTATTTATTTTTCATATAATTTTATATCATTTTAATCCTCTTGATATGAGGAAAAAAGTATGCATTGGTTTCTTTATATGTGGTACTATAGTAGAGAAATTCAATTTTTTATTATCACTTGTTTTGCAGAAAAAAAAGAAAATTCTACTACTTTTGGATCATGTTCAATGGAATGATATATCCATTTGAGCACTTATAGGAAGATAAAATCTTGATTAAAACAGCATACTTTTCTCGCTTTTTCTATGCTTTATAATGGAATCTATAAGGAAAATATCGTATGATAATCAGCTATGCTCAAGCTTTTATACAACGTAGATATTGTTAGCCGTGGAGTAATTTTTCGTAATTGTGGGTGTAGAACTCACGTATCAGTCCAACTAGTAGACTATGGCTAAATTGTAGTTCATTATAAATACTGGATTTTAGCGACATCGGGTGATAAGCCTGTGAAGGAGTTATGTTGATAACACAAACACCAATGAACAATTGCGAATGGATTATATTTGGGTATATTTTATTCCAATAAAATATTTGCATTTTTATTTCCTTCCCAATATTTTGCATCCAGAAACACCGTTATCTAGGTCTGTTGATGGCTCCCAAGTCAAGAAGACAGTTATATGCTGCTAATGCTGCACAAAAACGATGGTCGCCAGAACGAGATTCGTCGAGTGATGAAGATATTTATTTGATGGACATCAGTACGTACTGATGATGAATTAAACTTGAATTATTCAAACTTGAAAGATAGAATAAATGTATCTGATATTGCTGATATCTATGAACTTTGTAAAACTTACTGTAGCACACGTTATCTAAGCGTCTTGATGTATTTGACTTTACGACATTTCAATATATCGTGCAGAGATACTGATGCTTTTTTGAAGGATATCGGTAGTTATACAAGAGAAGCATCTCATAACTGGTCCTGGAAATTTCTGAATGAAAATTTTGATGAATTTATTAATGATAAAAGACGCGGAAAACGAGGCGATAGCTTCTACGATATTTATCCGGAACTAGAAGAGGAAGCTAGAACTTTTGCTGTTATTGAATGCAATAAAAAGGCAGCCAGTTTCACGGCTTCTGAGTTAGCGCAATTTATTGATAACCGATATCATGAAATAAATGATATTCAAAAGAATGATTTGAAATTAGTTAGATCTGTAGAAAGCTGTCGGGTAGATTTACGAAGATGGGGTGCACATTTTGATATTAATTCAAATCGTCCGTATTTCGAAGGACACGAACGTTCCGATGTTCGAGAACATCGAGAACCATTTGTTCGTCAATTTTTAACCAATGAAGACAGTTATTATACAGTTAACTCTGACGAAGATCCATCCTAGAATAAACAGAAGTCATCCAGACCAACCATTCTTATTTGTAAGAGAGTTATTCTTAGTTATGCTTTTTAGTAAGATGCTTAATTCGTATAATTCTATAGGCCATGACGAATCAACCTTCCGCAGTGGAGATGTCTGTCGAAAGCGTTGGTTCCTTGGGAATTCCACCCCTTTCTTTTCCAAAGGTCGCGGTAGAAGCGTAATGGTTTCGGATTTTCTTGTTCAGCACCCTTCAGGTCCGTTCTTTCAATTGGACGAACAAGAATGGATGAAGGCAATACGAAAGTATCCCGAACTCCTAATTGATGATGGTATTCGATATGTCAAGTATTCTGCTACAGTTTTTGCTCATTTAGGCGTCGATTCATATTTTGATAATAGTATTATTTTACTGCAATTTGAGCGCTTATTTAAGTTAATTGAATTTAAACAAGAATATCAAACTCAGAGTGTCGAAATATTAGTTGATAATGCGACCACCCATACCGCTAAAAGTTACAGCATTAGTGATTTTGGAATAAACATCGGAACCAATTGTCCGGTTTCGTCAATTGAATATTTAAATGATAACAATGAGATAGAAACACTTGATTGTTATTTTTAATCAGCGCCACATATAGGACAATCAAAAGGTCTATTAGTCATTGCACGTGAGTTAGGCATTCAAGCACCATCTGGTATCAAATTAAGTGAGTTGAAAGCAATCTTATCTAATCACAAAGCTTTTCAGAATGTGAGTAAAAATATTGTCTATTCTTTAATATGTTTCTATAATCCCTAATCCACTCTCCCCCGACGACTCCCCGGGGAGTCCCCGCAAAATAACGAAATCCCTGGGGAGTCCCTGTCGTGAGTCCCCGGGAACTTTCTATTTGGGGGACTCCCCGGGGATTTCTCGGGGGGAGAATTGGTGAAGTTTTTTAAAATTAAAAAACAACTTTTTAATTTTTTAAAATCTTTAAAAATTTAGAAGAATTTATTAGTAATTAGTTATTTCATCGATTTTGGTCATATAGCTCCCCGGGGAGTCCCCATAAAAGAACGAAATCCCTAGGGACTCCCTGTCGTGAGTCCCCGGGGATTTGTCAGGGGACTCCCTGGGGATTCTTCTAGGGAGAGTTGACTAGGGAATTCATTTTTATCACCATAGAATTCTAAATTGGAAAATTTAGCAAAAAGATACAATATTAAAATCAAGTTTATTCCCAAATTCCATTGCGAATTGAACCCCATAGAGAGTATGTGGTGCCACCAGAAACAATTCGTGAGAAAACATTCTGNCTGGGGATTCTTCTAGGGAGAGTTGACTAGGGAATTCATTTTTATCACCATAGAATTCTAAATTGGAAAATTTAGCAAAAAGATACAATATTAAAATCAAGTTTATTCCCAAATTCCATTGCGAATTGAACCCCATAGAGAGTATGTGGTGCCACCAGAAACAATTCGTGAGAAAACATTCTGATCAAACATTTCAACGTATGTTAAGCTGTATCACTATATGCAGATTTTCACGCTGAATCCAACTAACATGTTTTTGAGTCGTTTATATTTCGAAATTCAAGTAGGAACAGCCTAAATTGTCGAAAATTCGTGATTTTTCACAATTTCGAAATTTTTTCTTTTTTTCAACATTTTTAACCCTAATAAAGCAACCATGATGTTTTTAATATAGTGATTCTTGTAGAGCACATCAAGCTCTACCAAATGATATAAAATTCTTCCAAAAAAAAGTTTTGTACGATTTCTGAATTACTCGCACTTTACATGACTGAATAGTACAGGTACTATTGGAAAATAAATAAAAGTGTCGCAAGCTTGTAAATAAGTATGAATAATATATGGTGTTAAGATTTAATAACATGATGTCCCATTAATTTAATCCAGAATTTTGGTTAGACAAATCATAATCGTCGAGTATTCTCTTGTTGAATTCCCTTGAGTACCGATCGATTCCATGAGTAAGAGATGTCGCTTTTCTCACATTTACCAAAATCTGTCACGCACTGTTTGTTTCCGCATGAAAAAGCTTCTTCACCAGGCTGACACGAATGTTCTTCTTTTTCGAATATATAGTTATTGTCGTACGCATTGTGTGTGCATTCTGCAGTATGAAAGTCCGACATATCGAGGCAGTGTGCGAGATTATCCGTTAAAAACTCATCCGATATACATAATCCATTATAATATCGATATTCATTTACACCGCAGTCATTTACTTTCAACTGAAAACAATATGCTTCATCAGCAGCTCCATCAATACAATCTATTCTTCCATCACATGCCTCTCGCCAATCGAGGCGCATACTTGATCCAGCACGATGACATTGCAAAATGAATATAACAGGTCATACGTATGAGACTATATGAAGAATCGTAATAATTTCTTTTCACCTCTATAGCTTTGACATTATCCGGGAAGAATTTCACTGTATGTAGAACATGTGAGTATTGGCATTGCGATCTAAACCATGGGTTTGCACAATTGAAAAACACTTCTTCCGGTGCAAAGTCGTTGCCTTAATGATCAATATAATATTAATATCGTTCTGCAAGATCGACCGTAGCAGATCATAAAAGAAGTTGGCTAGCAGTAACATTCAATTGGCGAAACTCATCAAATGTGAAGTTTCGATCACGTATGTTAACGAAATCTCGTAATTGTGATTGATCGTTAATAGTTGTACCAAGACAATACTCTATCTTTTCTGTGTAGTCCAAATAGTTTATACTGTAATCATATAAGCAGCTCACCTGCGCGCGATTTATACCAAGATTTTCATCGGTATTGTGCATGCTAAATTCCGTTCTTGCAATTGTCCAGAGTGACCAACTTAGAAGTAATTGATAGAACATATAATTTGTTGACCAAAAGACTTGTGCTATGAAATCACTGTCTTCGAAGATCGAGAGAAAGTATTAATAATTAATAGTACTCAGCTTTATACAAGACAAAAAATGTACACGATTTTCAAGTATGTATATTAGACATTATTAATGATGGATTTATTAGGAAATATCTGCAACATGGCTGTACTTTCAATTGACTTGAATTTACTATAATAAGTGACTGAATAAAGAAAGTTCTATGATAAATTTATTGTTCAATATTATTAGTATATGCTATTTTTTTAAATATTTTCTTATTCAACGTAGTCAAACCCCTACTAAATCTGTTTATAAATAACGCTTGCTGCACATCACAGTAAAATAAATCAGAGAGATCCGGATATCTATTAACTAGTAGTCTATTTCATGGCACTGAACATTATTTGCTACTCTGGAAGTTTCGTAAGATAAAGTTTCTCTTGTACGACGATATCAAAAATTTTGAAATTCGCATGTACCCTTTCGAGAAAAAGAATCGAACTGTGAATTCTTATTGTTATTATTTGTGAGGACTTTTTCTAGTTGAACAATATCTCTGCTAGTTTATGCATTTAAAAGATGACAAACAAGTCAGGCTTTCCTGTCAAGACAATTGTAATGATGAATCACTAGAAAGATTATTAGTTATGATAAGCTAATTGATTATTAAATCTCATCAATCACGTTGAATTTACATTTATAGGTCGTGACGATTTGAACCAAAATTAGTTACGCATATTATAATAAAAAGGAAATGCCCATAAATAGTTGTTACTAGAGAAAAATTATTTTAAACAATAATATACTGTTATTTTACTTGACTCGAAATAAATGATTTACTTGTTTCATAAATTATGTCAATTTTTGATATCTTACGTCGCCATTTGATGCATTTATGATTCCTTGTTGTTACGACTTCTTTCTTTCTCTCATATTATTATGCTCTGTTGTCATAGAAACAGCAACGTGATCTTATGACAACAGAGTAATCTATCTTCGTACGGAATGGAACCATGCATCTTTCGCTTACTGTCAAAACGAATCATTTCAGACATAAAAATTGATTGAAAGAAATTACTTACAATAAAAAATATGAAGACTTACAAAAGTCATGAATACATGATTAATAACGGCGTATTTAATGATCCACAAGAATATTTATTAAATTTTGTTTGAAATTAATGTGCGTCATAAGCGAAAATCATGTAAATACTTTAAGACAGAACAATGAACTTTTAAAACATAAACATCATATCATATCCTTTTACAACCAGGATATGAATCTTAATGACTATCAATATTAGTCTATCTACTCTCTGTCTGTCTTTCTGTCTCTTTTTTTCAATGTGTCGGCAACAAAACAGTTATATGCAATCCAATCAACCTTGAATGCTGCTTAAAATCCTTGAGGGTGTACATGTTTGTTGGTATCGATACGAGGAAACGATAGCACAGTAATCAAGAAAGTGCACCAGCGTTCTCTAAATGAAGAATATAGTAATGATTGTGGGAGACGAATGAAAACAATCAATGCTACAATAAGAACGGAGCAGGTCTCAGTTTGGGCTTGAGTTTGGGTGTGGGTGAGGTTCCCTTGAGTGAGAAATGCCATAGTCACACTCTCAAATTAATCTAAGCATCGCCATCGTTATTGACATCTTCAAGATGCATCTAAATAAAAGCACTCCTTTTTCTATTCATTGTTTTAACTATCAATGAATAAGCAAACCAAGAGCATAACAAAATCGCGAGGTGAATATTTGTATGAGTTGTTGCATATAAATATCAAGGTCGACTGATAAAGCATGACTAGAAATAAAGGGTGTGGGTATGGGTGTAAAGATCACAACTTCTTTTATGTGCCCACATCCACACACGCGCAATACAAAATATTACCGCGTAATAGAAATATTGTTACGCAATACGACGAATAGATTAAGGTCAGTGTCCATACGATTTGACCTTGATGGAGAAACAGAAACGAATGTAAAGTAGATAGATGGAAGGAAACGAAAGAACGAGACACTTACAATAAATGATAACAACTCATAAGCACATATATAATCATAAGGAAAAGCACATTATTAACATATATGTAGCAGACCACATCCTTCGTCCACGGTCACCCATACGTGCACGAACACCCCCCC